GAAGGCACTTATGAGAATGAAATCGTTTTTCACAGCTCAAAGGGTCAGGTGTTACCTTGTCTCCGTTTTACTTTATAATTGCCAACGTTGTATAGTACACGCACAGAAAAGAGAATATAAGCATAAGCATATATATATACAGGGTGTTTCAGTTTATTGTTGCATAACTTTAAGATTCGATAGAACTTTTAAAATTAATGCATAAAGTCTATATAAACATGGGTCGAAAAATGCGTGGCTTCCGAAATACAGGGTGTTTAAATTTACTTTCTAAAATAGTCTATTTTAAATATTTCGAACAATATTTGATGTATAACAGTGAAAATTGGTATACAAGGGTTTTTTGGTACGACAAAACGAACCATGGGCATAGTTTTACTGTAGCCGCTTGAGGGCGCTCTCTACTGTTGCTGTAGTGAATTAAAATGACCGAAAAATTTTTCTTACTGCAATTTCTTGCTTTCTGAATAAAAAAACTGATTCTTCACACTTTTCAACATAAAAAAGGTCTCTTGTGAATGTTCGTTATAGTTCTCGTTTTTGAGATATTTCGATTTTTAAGGTTCGATGCATTTTTAATTATTTATGATAAAATAACGTTAAAAAGTCAGTATCTCGATAATTTTTAGAAGTAGGCTGTACCTGCAAATATTTTTGAAATTGAAAGCAGAATAAGGTTAAACGTCAATTAGTTGACAGTTAGTTTTGTTGTCTGTTGAAACCTTAAACGTTTTTTTTGTAACTGTGAATGCACGAAATTTAGTTTCTTTTACCTGTTTTTTTGTAAGTTTTATAAAAATGCCATTTTTATTCTCCAATCAAGAGTTAGCGGATATTCATTTTGTGTATGGTTTTGTAATTGGAAACGCAGCAGAAGCAGCAAGAAAATACGCACGAAGATTTCCAAACAGACGACATCAAACTCGCTCAGTATTTGTAAGAGTGCATCGCCAAATAGTTGAAAATGGTTTTGGAAATCTCCAAAGGGATCAAAACATAAATATTCGTCAGCGCAGATTTACCCGTATGATTCTGCGTGAGTTTGATAGAGATCCGACCACAAGTGTTAGGAGAGTTTCTGGTGCCTTGGGAATTTCAGCAAGCCATGTTCACCGTGTTCTTAGGAGTGATCATAGACGTCCTTACCATTTGCAACCTGTGCAAGGACTACAGCCAGGGGACGGAGAACGAAGAATCACATTTTGTTAGTGGATTCTTGATAGAACTGATAATAATAGGGAGTGTTTAAGTAACGTTTTATGGACCGATGAGTCATGCTTCACTAGACGTGGAGTGGTAAATTTGCATAATCAACATATTTGGTCGCATGAAAATCTGCATGCAGTTCGGGAAAGAAATTTTCAGCATGAATTTAGTATGAACGTGTGGATTGGTATCTACCGTAATCGACTATTTTTACTCTACCTTTTGCCTGCAAGGTTAAATGCTGCGACCTTCTTGGAATTTTGAAAGACTGAACATGCAAATATGTGGGATGATGTTATGTTAGATTTAATAATATTGGCCTGGTTCCAGCTTGATGGTTGTCCAGCTCATTATTCGAGGATAGTTAGAAACTGGCTGGACGAAAATTATACAGAAAGATGGATCGGCCGTGGAGGACCAGTCGCCTGGCCTCCACGATCCCCTGACCTAAATCCATTAGATTGCTTTGTGTGGGGATTTCTAAAAGAAAAAGTGTACCAGACTCCCGTAACCACAAGAGATATGCTAATAGTTAGAATCAGGAATGCATGTGATGAAATAACGCCTTATTTGAATAATGCGATCGATCATTCCTAGATGTGAATTGTGTATTGAACAATTGGGTTTACATTTCGAGCAACTACTTTAGATTTTATATGTTTGTCCTAACTATCCAATAGCATTTTAGTTGTAAATAATTAATTTAATTTGTTAAAAATAATATTGGAAAATTAAACAAATTAATATTCTGCTTTTTTGTGTTTATTTGGAGTTAGGAATTATTGCTGTGTTTAAAAACACAATCTAAACGACCATCTTAATTACTTGTAATGCCCAAATCGAAAATGTAAAAAAAATATTATTTTTCCATGAATAATTAAAAATGCATCGAACCTTAAAAATCGAAATATCTCAAAAACGGCGACCTATAACGAAAATTCACAAGAGAGCTTTTTTATGTTGAAAAGTGCGGATAATCAGTTTTTTTATTCAAAAAGCAAAAAATTGCACTAAGAAATTTTTTTTCGGTCATTTTAATACACTACAGGTACAGTTGAGAGCGCCCTCTAGCGGCTACAGTAAAACTATGCCCATGGTTCGTTTTGTCGTACCAAAAAACCATTGTATACCAATTTTCACTGTTATACATCAAATATTGTTCGAAATATTTAAAAAAAACTATTTTAGAAAGTAAATTTAAGCACCCTGTATTTCGGAAGCCACGCATTTTTCGACCCATGTTTATATAGACTTTATGCATTAATTTTAAAAGTTCTATCGAATCTTAAAGTTATGCAACAATAAACCGAAACACCCTGTATATATATATATATATATATATATATGTACCAGTCTACAGAGAAGAATATGCTGAACAAGGACTTTTGCCTCCACGTGCCTTTCTTATCAGTTACAGTATTGTATTTCATTTGTTCTTTACTTTGGTTTGTATAATGAACTTTGCAGTCAGTCTCGATTCAGAACTCATTCAATTAACATCATTGTATTTGGTCTTTCTCAAAAATAAATCTTTTTAAAAACGTTTTCGTTGAAGAAAGATATTTGAGTGGCGCAGTCAAAGCAGTAGGATAGCCAGACGAAAAAAGGACATTTTCGGCTCGTTTCAACGGTTTACTGGCTATAACGAAACCAACCGCGATTGGTCGCGAACGATCCGACGGAATATCGATATCGTTACCGTGATCACCGGAACCAGATTTGGGATAGAACCCTACCCAAATCGAGAAACCAAGACGACAGCAGCCCAGAAGACAGAAGGAACATCTGCTCCAGGACAGGCAACCCAGCAGTGGCCCAGGCATACGGACACATGGGACGGATTGGATTACTACTGTAAGTACGAATGTCTTACAGGGGTGAAAACAATCAAAAGCTGTTTGATGATATATTGAGTGACACTGATTCGGACTCACAGTCGGATACGGAACATATCCAACATAGTTTAAGGAACTTGCAATTAAGACCTAGTATACTAAATAGTACAGTCAATATGAACAACAATCAAGTAAATCAATCAAGCATGTCATTACGCCCAGAGTATCTTAACATGATACCCGAATTTTATGGTCAACAAGAATTATTACCAAGATTCATAGATATTTGCGAAAAGTTAGTGAATAAATTTTATAGATTAGAGGATGAAAATGACTTCCAGAACGAATATCTTATGAGTAGTATTTTAGCGAAAATCAAAGGTAATGCAGCTTTAAATATTAGTAGCAATATTATAAAAAATTGGACAGACTTGAAAACTGCACTTTTAAATACATATCAAGACAAGCGTGACGTATTTACTCTAAATATAGAATTGTGTGAATTGAAACAGAACAATGAAACCCCCTTTGAATTTTATAACAAAGTTCAGAGTTTATTGAATTTACAAATATCATTTTTAACTACACATTGTGTGAGTGAAGAAGCTCAGATAATATGTAATTTTTGCAAAAGCGTAGCATTAAGAGTATTTCTAAAAGGTTTAAAGGAACCTCTAGGATCGCTCATGAGGACGAAAAATCCTACAGACTTGAATGAAGCTCTGAATATATTAACTAACGACTTTCAGCTTGATCATAAGGTAGATAAACATAAAAATGTTAATCGAAATAATATGCAATTAGTACGCCATATGAACAACAACTTTGGTAATTATAGGAATCAATACCAAGCGGTACAGCGTCCAGTATTACAAAGACAATTTAGTCCTAATAATGTACGACCAAATAATCCTAATCAGAATAGAACGAATTTTCACAATAATAACGTTTTTAGACCTAATCAGATCAATAATCTGCCAAGGCCTACTCCGATGAGTACATCCACTAGACAGACGTATCAGCAACCAAATTTTCAAGGTAGAAATTTTAACAGACCTGGTGTCAACGCAGAACAGGCTATGTTTAACTTGTGTGTACAAGACCAACCTGTTGTAGAATTTCCAAATGATGACAATTACGAATGCGCTTATTCTCAGAATAATTCTGACAATTTTTTAGGGCAAGAAGCCTCGGTACAGATACAACCACAAGTCTCAACGGACCACCAAAGTCAATTGAAATTATGAGTTTAACCGACAAATGTAGCAAACTACCATACATTGTATTTCCGGAGTATAATCTCAAAGTATTGATTGACACTGGAAGTACAAAATCTTTCATACACCCTGAAATTGCGAAAAAATTATTTTCAAGACATATTCAAAAAGACCCATTTCAAATCACTTCAGCACATGGTTCATCTATCGAACAATATAGTATGACAATACCTTGTCCAAAGATTTTTAAGAATCCAAATATTCTCATGAAATTTCATTTATTCAAGTTTCACGAACATTTCCAATGCCTTTTAGGACTCGATAACCTGAAAGAGATATTGAATGCCAACATTGATTTGAGCAATGATCTTTTAGTCACACCCACAACAAGGATACCCATGCAATATCACGAGATTACAAAAAATTCTTCTAATGTTATCACTGTTCCACCTAGAACAGAACAGATAATTAAGGTTAACATAAAAAATTTAAAAAATGGTAATGCTATTATTCCATACAGAAAATTATCATGTTTAGAAATCCCTGAATGTCTTACTACAGTGAAAAATCACGAAGCAATTTGCACAGTATTAAATTTATCTGAAGAACAGATTTCTCTTGACATATCTCGACCAATTGATGTAGAAAATTTTGAAAATTACGAAGTTTCAGAAAATTCTGATCCACCGAATATTAATTCTTTGAACTTTCAAAAATATAAATTTGATATTTCCAAAATTAGGACAGAGCATATGAACTCTGAAGAAAAAGACGCAATCAAGAAGTTAGTAAGAGAGTATTCAGACATATTTCACATAGATGGTAATTACTTAACTTGTACGAGCAAAATTAAGCATCATATACGTACAAGCGATGAAATACCCATTTACACGAAATCATACAGATATCCTGAAATCCACCGAAAAGAGGTACAAAGACAAATACAATCAATGCTTGATCAAAAAATTATTAGAGAGAGCCATTCAGCGTGGTGCTCACCTATATGGATTGTTCCAAAAAAAATTAGACGCATCGGGAAAGCAAAAATGGAGAATAGTCATTGATTATAGAAAATTGAATGAAAAAACATTGGGAGATCGTTATCCTCTTCCAAACATAACAGATTTGTTAGATAAATTAGGGCGATGCCAATATTTTTCAACATTAGACTTAGCTTCAGGTTTTCACCAAATAGAAATGGCAGAAGATGATATTCAAAAAACTGCATTTAATACAGAAAATGGACACTACGAGTTCACAAGAATGCCATTTGGACTAAAAAACGCGCCAGCGACTTTCCAGCGAGTAATGGATAACATACTGAGAGGTATTCAAAATGAAAAATGCTTAGTATATTTAGATGACATTATAATATTCAGTACTAGTTTACAGGAACATATTTCTCGACTTAGAGAAGTTTTTGAAAGGTTACGTCAGTCAAATTTTAAAATACAGTTAGACAAATCGGAATTTCTTAGAAAAGAAGTATCGTATTTAGGTCATGTTGTAACGGCGGATGGTGTGAAACCAAACCCCGATAAGATAAAGGCAATTACAGAATTTAAAATACCAAAAACTAAGAAGCAAATTAAAGGCTTCCTTGGACTTTTAGGTTATTACCGTAAGTTTATAAAAGATTTTGCGAAAATCACTAAGCCATTGACAATCAGATTGAAAAAAGATGCAATTATTAATCCCAATGACGCAGATTATATTAAATGTTTCGAATTATGCAAGACTTTATTGACAAACGATCCGATACTCCAATATCCGGATTTTTCCAAACCATTCTTGATAACTACAGATGCAAGTAATTATGCAATCGGCGCAATATTATCCCAAGGTAAATTAGGCTCAGATTTACCAATAGCGTACGCCTCACGAACATTAAGTGATTCAGAAACAAAGTATAGCACGACAGAAAAAGAACTTCTAAGTATCGTATATGCAGTAAAATATTTCAGACCTTATATTTTCGGACGTAAGTTTACTATTGTAACAGATCACAAAAGCCTCCAATGGTTATTTTCAGTTAGAGATGCTAGTTCAAAATTACTAAGATGGCGCTTAAGATTAGAAGAACATGATTTTGACATTGTTTACAGGAAAGGCAAATCAAACACAAATGCGGACTTTTTATCTAGAATAGAAGTAAATGTTAATGAAACAGGAGCACCGACTCCACTGGCACAATACATGAAAGAATTTAATAGAAATCTTGAAAATCCATCGAATATTTCCAATATTCCCAATCAGACCGATAACTATTCGATCGCACCTCAACCCAATGATTTAGATAAAATTGATGAAAATGAAAATGATTCATCAGGATACACTGTTCATTCTAATATAGAAAATCCTACGATAAATATTCCAATTAGTGATACAGCAGTAAATTGTGCAAAAAATCAAATTATTATTTCCGAAGTAAACCTCGAACCAGCTGATCCAGTAATTAGTAGATTACATGTGAATAAACAGCGAATATCCGTTCAATTATCAAAGAACAATTTTGAAGCTGATACAATTAAATTTGTAAAAGAATTTATTGCACCAAAGGTAAAATATTGTTTATATTTTGAAGACCCAGTCTATGAAAAGTTCAGCGTAGTTCTTCAAACATATTTCAAAAATTCCCAAATAAATCTAGTAAAATGCACAAAGAAATTGATAGACGTTACAGATCAAAATGAGATTAAGGATATAATCAAGAATTATCACGAAGGTAAAACCAATCATCGAGGAATCGATGAAACTGATAAAAGAATAAAACAAATATATTATTGGCCGAATTTAAGAAACTCGATACAGACTTATATTAATGAGTGTGAAATCTGTCAGTTAACAAAATACGACAGACACCCTTTAAAACTTGAATATAATATTACCTCAACGCCTACGAAACCATTCCAAATTTTATACGTAGACACTATTTCTTTAGAAAATGCAAAATTTTTGACTATGACCGATTCATTTTCAAAGTACGGTCAGGCTTACATGTTGAACTCTGCCAATGGAGTAGAGGTAACAAATAATTTTATAAGATATTTTACACATCACTGTATACCAGATCAAATGATTTTCGACCATGGCACAGAATTAAAAAATTCAGTAGTCAAAGAACTTTTAGAATTGCATAAAGTCAAAATACATTTTATTAGTTCACAGCACCCAGAATCTAACGGAACCGTAGAACGTTTCCACTCAACGCTCATAGAACATTTAAGATTATTGAACAATCAGGTAGAGTACAAGAACGAACCTATAGAAACTAAGGTAAATTACGCTATTTTAGCTTATAATAACACAATACATTCTGTAACCAATCTTAAACCCTATGAAGTGATTACTGGTCATTTCAATACAGAATCACCTTTTAATATAGACATAGATAAGCAATTATTAAATAATTATTTACAGAATCATAAGGAAAAAATGAAATTAGTATATAGGAATTTAAATGAAAAGATATTACGGAATAAAGAAAAAGTTATAAATAAAGCAAATGAGAAACGAGAAGTTTTGCCTGATATTCCTAACAAGGTATATGTTAAGAATAAACAGAAGATAAGAAATTAAAAAGAGCGGAGATAGATCCCACACATGCCAATACTTCTAAAAATATCCATTTATCCAATATTAAAAGGCCCAGGAAGAAAACTTATCAATTTAAATTTACTAATATTTCAGATACCTCATCTATTTCGGATGCGGAGCAGAAATAAGAAACATAACGAACAATTTAGGAATTTTGCCAGTAAATTTAGGCACAGCTAGGCTACAAAAGACAAAACATACTTTTGTGCACTATTATGATCTATCACCTTTATATAAGGAATATGAAGATTTGAATATTCAATATAGTAATCTTAACTATAGTTATAGAAACCATTCTAAGATTAATAACGAGCTAGAAAATTATAGTAAGATAGTATCTTATATAAGGAGCTTGATTCAAGAGAAAACCGAATACATTAAATCTCATTCTCAAAAGACTCGCAATAAGAGAGGACTTTTTAATGGCATAGGCTATGTAGTAAAAACAATAACAGGAAATTTAGACTCCGACGATGGAGAACGTATTGATAAAATTTTATCTCATTTACAAGAAAATCAGCATCAAATTCAAAATCAGCTGAGAATGCAATATTCAGTAAATAATGAACTTGTCGCAAAATTTAACGGGACTATTCAAGATATACAGCACAATGAGATGACATTAAGAAATAACATTTTACAATTGAAACATATTTTATTGAACCAGACAACAAACCAGGATATTCTTTCAGCGAAGGACATTATCAATCAATTAATTATCCTTTATAATGCCATATTGAATATTTTACAAGATATCGAAAATTCGATAACTTTTTGCAAATTGAAAACCATGCATCCCAGTATAATAAGGACTAGAGAATTATTTCAAGAACTCCGTAAGATATCCACATTTTATAAAAATGAATTACCATTTGAAGTAAAGTATGAAAATATGCTAGATTATGAATCTATTATTTCTATCAGCTGTAAAATCGATGAGAATCAAATAAGTTATTTTCTATCTATTCCTATAGATTATCCTGAACATTTCGATCTTTATTATATGTTACCTATACCGACTCTGATGCACAAATCAGAATTCGTCACTATTATCCCAAATTATAAGTATTTGCTAAAATCTGATCGAAATGAGATCAAACCCCTGCACGAGATTTGTACCCAAGGTAGAATCTATCAATGCCCTAATCGTATATTAGCCAATCACAAAGCCCAATGCGAGAAGTCAATAATTACAGAAGATCATACAGAACCATGTAGATACACGAAGCTTCAGATTGAAGAAAATCACATCGAATTTATTCCCGAAATTAACCAGTATTTAGCTGTATTTCTCACCGAAGAAAAATTGAAAATTAAATGCAAGGAGCAAATCGATACAAAGTCATTACTTGGCATTTTCTTAGTCAAAGCCAGTGAATGCCAAATATCATTCCAAGACAATGAACTTATCTTTCAAGACAAAACCTATGGAAAGCCCCTCGTAGCTGACAAAATGGATTTCCATTTTATGAAACAAAATATCCCAGAGACGCAAATTACTCTGAAAACGTTAAATTTACCAGAATTACAAGTTAATCGAATGTTACCAATTTTAGAAGAAAATTCCATAGAAAATTTTGGAAAACCCAGTATTTGGACCATATTACTATATCTCGTATTTTCAAGCATCTGCTGCATAATTTTATATAGAAGATGGAGAAACAAGAAAGCATCCAAGTTAGAAATCGACATTGAATTAGCCGAGATGAAAGAAGAAGGTCCAAGTCCCACAAAACGCACTAGAAGAGAAGATTCCAGTTCAAGATATAAGAAGAAAGAAATTCACCTTCCAGGGGAAGCTTCATTCTAGGGGTGGAGGAGTTATGTACCAGTCTACAGAGAAGAATATGCTGAACAAGGACTTTTGCCTCCACGTGCCTTTCTTATCAGTTACAGTATTGTATTTCATTTGTTCTTTACTTTGGTTTGTATAATGAACTTTGCAGTCAGTCTCGATTCAGAACTCATTCAATTAACATCATTGTATTTGGTCTTTCTCAAAAATAAATCTTTTTAAAAACGTTTTCGTTGAAGAAAGATATTTGAGTTATATATATATATATATATGTCTCCTTGAAAATTCGAGGTCTTCTAGCCATTTTTTACTACTATGTGTAGGTGCCTCTTGTTGTGGACTTCGTGTGTCGTTTTTTTTTTCTCTCCATCTTCGTTACCTCAGGTTACACCCGTATCCGGATGTGTGGGCATGTGTATCTAGTTTTGTA